CCTTGAGAAAGTGTAGAATGGTTTGGAATCGTGTTAGTATGTGAATCGGCCTGCAGACTCTATTTGGAGTAATGGTTAGTGTACAAAGGAAAATTGAATATGGCAGAAAGGAGTGTGTTTGAAATGAATAGAGGCGTAAAGATCTGATTATCGTGTCAGGTGCAATATGACTTGAGTTCGAAAGGTATTGTTGACGTACAGTTGAGGTCAATAGGGAAAGTGCAGACTTATACAAATGGTGGGCGAGCATGAATTCAGGAGAATTTACGGATTTAGTGGTCGTTGCACTCAGTGCAGTGTCATTGGAAGATGTCGGTAAGAAATTCCACATGTGGGTTATCTCTTGTGTGCAGCTAGCGGTGGCGTAATGTTGATGAAGCTTTTGCGAGGAATATTACTTGCTACCCGGTAGGAGGCCGCGTGTGTGATTTTGGCTGGAGATTCAGAATGTTCATGAAAGGCTTAATAAAAGACTTCGAGAAGTCTAGCAGGTTAACAGTGCGAGACCTTGGTAATTGAGAAGGAGAAATCCTTACGGGTTCTAATTTTATATAATTGTAGCTTAAGGCTAAGTGAGGGAGTCTACTATCGATGAGTCGATTGCATGGTTATGGGTCATATTAGTTTCGGTTCAGGGTATACCGGTGAATCAGTTATGACTTGTAGAGTTCGAGATCAGGGATGACTCAGGTGAAGGTATTTCTGGACACAAGTTGTATTACACTCTATGGTTATAGGAGTACCATACAATAATTGAGTGGTTATTCACAGAGAATGTAGTGTACATGGAGCGGGAATTTGCTTGGTTGCGTAGGAGTGTGGGTTACTCTTTATTCCCTTGGGTGTTGGTGTGCTAAAGGGGCACATGTCATTTCGTTCCGTTTGGTCGGTTAATTCGAGATTTGAGTAGAGTGGATGACTCTCGAGAATGGTTCCAATGGATTCAAGATTTATAAATATGGCTAGAAAATTGGGAGTTGCATTGAACGGTGTTGAGACTCGTGGCATCTTATATCATTGTGAATTATGCATTTCAATATCAAAAAGGTGAAGGAAACAGTTTTAGGTTCACATAAAATCTCTTCGGAGTAAGATTTTTGGTTGTGGAACCTTTGGAATACATAAAAAGGGAATTCGGCGGCTTATAAGCCTTAGCGCGGCGTGATTCTATGCTAGAGTTCGTGGGGTAAGTTTTAGTTAAGGATAGTAGGGTTCTAATAAGGAAAAAGTAGCAATTTGTAGGCAATTTAGAAAGAACTTGGAGAAATAGGACAGCTTGGTAGTAGGTTGGGTTAGCACAGTAATGGGTATGATCGGTTCTTTGGGTACTTATGATATGGCTAGTATCTATAGGTGTTTCGTGGCAATGCTCTCGAATTTGGCAACCTGTGTGGCTTGGTGGAGTTAGAGGAATTCAGTTCAGATAGCTTGGTTATGTGCAAATGGATTTCAAAGTGTTCATGATGGGTTCTACCATGGTTTGAACCGGATATTTTCTATCGATGTACGGAACATGTTGTGTGTTATGATTTTCCCCTAGAAAGAAGCAAGAAAGAGGTTTATGACTAATAAGGTATGTAATTTGCTAGTGACTCAGAGTTGATAATGGAATTCTTATGCTTGTCACATAATGGCATAATAGATGTGGTGTGTTGTGGGGAGAATAGGAATTACATGTACAAGGTCACAGTTCAGTTTTGAAGGGAAGGACATAAATTCTTAGGCAACATGAACAATTTCCGATGACTAGGTAAATGATATTACTATCTGGTATAACTTGATGAGAGTGTACATTTCAGAAGGGGCAGTGTGTTTTGATTTATGGGTACTTCGCTAGTATTGCGGTACTCTCCTGGTTGATCGACTGTTGATATTCAAATTTTTGTCAGGTGGCACGGAAGAAATTTTTTTAAAGTATTTCTCGTGGGATGATTTTGTATGAGAGAGGTGTTAGGCATTCAAGCGGTAGAGGTGGATTCAAATATGGTGATTCATGTGTTCTATGGAATTGGAGATTGGGAGTTCTCAGGAGCAGATTATTTCATAGTTGTGGACTGTGAAGTTGTGGCCGGAGCTAACCAGATGATATAAAGTGTTATGATTCCGTCATTGTGGACTTTCGGAGGTTGTTTATCTATTGGTGGATGACCATAGTTGATTTGGGGCCAATTGGTAGGCCCAATTAGGATGTGTATTCTACACCGAGCCGGATTGATTGGCTCTATACTGCTATTCTTGAAGGATGTGCCATTCAGTTGATGTGAAGCTTATTCGTGTTCTGAAATAATCTGTGAGTTACTCTTCTATGCTACGAGGAGTTGTGATTCGTTGGTTATATGCACATATGGTGCGGTTCTATTGTGGCCTTATAGTGGAATTTGAGCAATAATAATATTGAATATTGCTTGGTTGATGACGTATTAGTTATGTTCTTTCGGGTTTTATGTGGCATGGTGTCGTTTGCTTCTCTGTGGTTATGGTAATGCACTTTGGGTATTTGATGTTGAATTGCGCATGGTTATTGATTTTAGCAGGGCGGCTAGAGGTGTTTCATATGGACCACTATTTGGATAGGGTCGCATATTGCAGCAGAGCTATGTGGAAATATGATCCCTTGTGTAAGATTCGTGTATTATGGTTATGTGGTGTGTGATGGGTTCTTAGCATTGCGTCGGGGTGGTACTCGTCGAGCTTGCAGAACGGTTCTCCTGTTTGGGTCATTGTTACGATTAGGTACACTTGGAATGTTGCTATCTGGTGCACGAATTTCACGGGTTGTGGCTTTAGATTGTATTGATGTGTCATGTCACTAGAGTGGTCATGTGGGATGAGTCGAGGTCATTGGGCCTAGAATGGATGCTATCGGATTTGATTATGGTATAATTGGGAGGATAATATCGGAAGTCGGCTTTGAAATTAGCTATAGTTCTTGTAGAAGGAACGAGAGCTCCATGACCCGTTGGTCTGATGAATGGTTATGAATTTGGTATGTTTCTTTCATCATCGGCAGTGTACGAAGGTTTTGAAATGAGGTTTTGTCTGATATAAGGCTATTACCGGCACTGGATTGATTTGAGTCGATACTGTGATTGAAAATCATTGCTTTGAGCATTCGAGCTATGCGGTATTTGAATTTTAGTATTTGAGTTATGGTTACGGCTTTTGGTACAGATTGTTTAGACTTATACGATATGTAGATGCAAACTTCTCATCTTATAGGAAATTTCGGATGTTGGAAATTTGATACGAAGGCTTGTGGGCTAGGTTGAATATAGAAATTTCAGTTATGCTGTGCTATCGTACCTGTATGGGATAGGGTGACGTGGGATCACCCCCGAGTATGTGCATGGGAAAGTTAAACAGCGATTTGATGGCTTTTGGAACAATTCTAGGCACGTTCGAGGACGAATGTATGTTTAAGTAGGGGAGGATGTAATGAGCCGACCGGTCGTTTTGAACATTTGCACTTCGTTCGGTTGATTGAGGGCATGAGTAGCTCCGTATGATGTACTTTGACTTATGTGAATCGTCGGTTTTGGGTTGCAGGTATTTCAGAATCGAATTGGAAGAAAGAATTTCATTGTTGAAGCTTTAAATTGGGAGAGTTGACCAAAATTTGACTCTTTAGCATTTGACCTTGGATTGGAATACTGATGGTTCCATTAGCTTCGTTAGGTAATTTTGGACTTAGGAGTGCGACCAGAATATAATTTGGAGGCTCGTGGTATAATTAGGCTTGAATTGGTGAAAGTTGAAAATTTGGCAATTTCGGTCGGCAGTGAAAAATTTGATATCGGGGTCGGAATGTAATTCCGAAAGTTGGAGTAGGTTCGTAGTGTCATTTGTGACGTGTGTGCAAAATTTGCGGTCATTCGGACGTGGTTTGGTTGGTTTCGGCGTCGGTTGTCTAATTTGGAAATTCAGAAGTTCTTAGGCTTGAATCTGAGGGTAATTTGATGATTTGATGTTGTTTTGAGTGATTCGAAGGTTTGACTAAGTTGGTATGTTGATATATGACTTGTTGGTATTTTTGGTTGAGGTCCCGAGGGCCTCGGGGTGATTCCGGGTGGTTAGTGGATTTGTCAAAGTTGGAAAATGCAGCTGAAGCTGCTACTACTCCTATTTCTGCACCTGCAGAAGGAGGAATCACAGGTGCGAGGTCGCTGGTGTGTTTGGGGAAGCCGCATATGCGGAAATGGAAAGCCAAGGCTGGGAACACAGGTGCGAAGAATTGGCCGCATCTGCGAGCCTGCAGGTGCAAGGCCTTGAGCGCAGATGCGGAAAGGAAGAGTTGGGTCGGTTCCGCAGAAGCGGAAGTGTTACGCAGGTGCGCGCCCACAGGTGCGGAACCTGGGGTCGCAGGAGCAGAATTGAGGGCTTAAATGGTTTTCGCAGGTGCGAGGATTTGACCGCAGGTGCGGTTCTGCAGGAGCGGACATATGGCCGCAAGTGCGACTATGCTGGGCAGAAAAGCCCCAGCTCGTGTGTTTTGTCTTCATTTTCCATTTTTGGGTTTGAGAAACTCGGGAGAGAGGCGATTTTTCGAAGGTTTTCAAGGAGCAACGTTGGGGTAAGTGATTCTAACCCATAATGGTATAAATTTCGTGAATCTATGGCCTTGCTCATCATTAATTAGTAGGATTTTGGAGTGAAAGTAGGGGTTAAGGCTTAGAATTCTTAATAGTTTAATTTAAGGATTTGAGGGACCAAACGATGTTAGATTTTGATGAATTTGGTATGGTTAGACTCGTGAGTGAATGAGATTTCTAGTTTTGTAAATTTTGTCGGATTTCGAGACGTGGGCCCGGGGGCCGGGTTTGAGCCAATTTCGGGTTTTGATCTAATTTGATAGTTTTTCTTGTGGAATTCATTCCATTAGCGTATATTGATGGTATTGTACTGATTGTAAATAGATTTGGAGCATTTGGAGGCCGAGTACAGAGGCAAGAGCATTGCGGGGTAGAGATTTGACCGGTTTGAGGTAAGTAACGATTGTAAATCTAGTCCTGAGGGTACGAAACCCCGAATTTTTGTATCATTCTACTATNGCACATGCTAGGTGACGGGCGTGTGGGCGTGCACTATTGGGGATTGTGACTTGGTCCGTCCCGTAGCATTTGTAAAATTGCATACTTTGTTGAAACCATATGATACTTATATATTTTAGAAAGAGTTTCTGTAAATTGGGCTGAATGCCATATTTGGGCCTTGTGCCAGTGTTGTTTGGATCCTTAGGGGCCTTTTCTTACTATCCTCTCATTGCTTTCGATTGAAAATCTATACTCAGTCATGTTTATACTTGTTTACCGCATAACTCAATTTTATGACTATATTTTGATGCATATAAATATTTTGGGCCGAATGCCATATTTTACTGAAATGACCGAGTGGCTTGAGAGGTATATGACTGAGTGCGGCCGAGGGCTTGATTGTGAGGATGAGTGTGGATCGGGGGCTGCCCGCCTGCAGCATACTTTATTATTATAGCACGTGAGTTGTTCGTGCAACACGTGAGTTGTCCGTGCAGATTATAGCGCTTGGGCTGAAGGAGCCCCTCCGGAGTCTGTACACACCCTAGTGAGCACATGTACCTACTGCGTGCGAGTGCCGAGTGCTGAGTGACTGGGAAGCATGAGTGATTGTGAGGTATGCCCGAGTGGCAAGAATGATTGTGAGGTATGCCTGAGTGGCACGAGTGACTGTGAGGTTTGCCCGGGGGGCTGTATATGAGTGATGTTTTGCCCGAGGGGATGTTTATGATTTCATCATTTTGCTCACCTTTGCATTTTTCTTCTGTCTGAAAACTGTTGAAAAATATCGTTAAATAATTTTTACTGGAACTGGGTTAAACGAGATATTTTGATTCAAAACCTGATTTTAAAAGCATGTGGTATTTTACTGAGATTTTCTGATATGAATGTTATATGTTTTATTGCTCGTCACTACTGCTCAGTCTTCATTTATTATTGTTACTTACTAAATTGGCGTACTCGCGTTACTCCCTGCACCTTGTGTGCAGATTTAGGTGTAGCTGGACACGGTAGCAGTTATTGAGTGTTCTGGTTGTAGATTTTCTTGGAGATAGCAAGGTAGTTGTTTGGCGAACACAACCCCTGCTCTTCTCCCTCTTATCTTCCTCTAGTTGTATTTAGCTATTTTCGAGGCTGAGTTAACCTTGATATTGTTAGACAGATTGCAGTAGATGCTCATGACTAGTGACACACCGATATCAGGCTTTTCCTTCCGCACTTTTATTTTGATTTGAACTCCTTTACGAAGGTTTTTATGTTAAATAACATTGAAATTATCTTTGAAATGAAAATATCGTTTTGTTTTGAAAATGAGTCGGCTTGCCTAGTTCCACGATAGGCGCCATCACGACAGGGGTTAGTTTGGGTCGTGACAATGCGACATGTCCCTCGCGTTCGCGAAGCACAAAATGTGCTGCCCAACATTTGCTCTTCGCGAACGCGATGCTTTAGAGAGCCCTTCTTCTCGAACGCGAGCTCCCCGTCGCGAACGCGAAGGCAAAAAACCATGCCCACTATTTTTTTCCTTCACGAACGCGATACCCAAATGCGAACGCGATGTACAACCCAACTCCTCTTCGCGAATGCGAGACCCCATCGCGAACGCGAAGAGTAAATCCTGCCTGCCTCAAATTCCTCTTCGCGAACGCGAAAGAGAAAATCCGAAAAATGCAGCAACAGATATCAGCAATCCCACCAAGGCCACAAATGATCCGTTAACCATCTCAAACTCACCCGAGCCCCTCGGAACCTCAACCAAATATATCAACAAGTCCTAAAATATTATACAGACTTAGTCGAACCCTCAAATTACCTCAAATAACGCTAAAACTATGAATTACACCCCAATTCAAGCCTAATGAACTTTGAAATTTCTAATTTCTTCAAACGACTCAGGATCCTACCAAATCACGTCCGATTTACCTCAAATTTTGCGCATAATTCATAAATGACATAACAGAGGTACTCAAATTTTAAGAATCGAATTTTGACCCCAATATCAAAAAGTAACCCCCCGGTCAAACTTCCCAAAAATTCAACTTTCGGCATTTTAAGCCTAATTTCTTTAGACTTAGTGTCTTATTTCACTCTGAATTCCTTTCGGACCCGAACTCACTAACACGATAAGTCATAAAACAACTATAAAGTATAAATTAAGCAGTAAATGAGGGAACGGGGCCATGATACTCAATGACCGGTCGGGTCGTTACAATTCAAGAACTGGCAAAGAGCCAAATCTTCAAAAACTTTGGGAAATGACTCACATACATCAGGACATTGGGTTAATGATGCCTCTGCTGAATTTAATGTATATACGAAGATCTTATCTTTATCCTAGAATATGAGCCGATTGAAACAAATATTACAAGTTTAAACTTGTACAATATTTTGTAGGATAAGCTGATAGAAATTGTGGATGAACAAATTCAAGAAGTGGAAGAGGGTACTGATATGGACCCAATTGTTAATGCTGCTTTCGTGAAACTTGTTGGAGAAAAGTCAGGATATTGCCGCGGTCAAGGATCGGGAGTCAAGCCAGCTAGTAGGAGAACTATGCATGTAACTCAAGAGCAACTGCAAGCACAACAGAGAGAGGTGGAAGAAGAACGCCATAAATGAGAGAGTGTAGAGTGCAAACTAATAGAAGTGGAAAATCAACTCTAGGAGGAGCGGAAAAAATGAGAAGTCATGGAAGCTCGTCTACTGAGTGATCAAAAAATATTAAAACAAGGCATGATGGCACTAGTATCCCATATTCAAAGTTCCAAGGTATTTAGTTTGTTTAAGGCGTTAAAGTTTCAATTACTTGCTTTTGATCCTACGAACAATTTTATTAAAATACTTAAGAATAAATGAGATAACATCACTATTCATGTTAGTCATTATCACACACATATATTACTTTCTTCGACTATAGACATGCCACAATTTTACATTTGAAATGCAATAGAACAGAACACTAAGCACTAAATGGTCCTGAAGTACATGAAAATGAATTTGCTATTTTCAGCTCTAATAGAAACTGAAGGAGCAGTAAGTTAGATGTTATCTTTGGCGAGGAGCTATTTTGTTGGGGTCTTGGAATACAATTTTTCAAGTAAACAATGACTTTCTACTAATTGGTTATAATTTACTACAACTTCAATACTTGTTTTAAATACTATGATAAAGATACTACTAAGTCTAATACATGATGTTCTGTTTTATATCCTATGGTACTAGCTTTGAAGAATGGACGTTCTCATACACTAATTTGTTTGTCATTTCTACATGATATATTAGATATTCAAGTTATAAAATGCTCTATGTGGATGTTGTCTGTTTATTTGAATCTCTAGAAATATTGTGTTCTACTGAAAGGAAACTTGTTCTAGATTTTTTTGATGTTATAAATTTGCTTCTTCGAGGTTCTATCATGTTTAAGTTTAGTTGTACAATGTTTAAACAGACTGGACTTCCTGCTGCAATTTTTGACATGATTGCTAATTTAAATGATTCGGATGAGACAAGTCCTACAAATCTTATGGATGATACCATGGTAAGTAAACTTATTTTAGTTCATATGAAAGGAAGTTTCTTGGCTGTATATGCAAATGAGTCTATTTGAATAAATCAATCTTTGTCTAGTATTTTGTTTCGACTATAGTATTGTATCTCTGGGAGTATTAATAGGTTCTGATGCAACTTTATTTTGGGGAGTACTTTAATCAAGCTTGCACTGCTAGCTTACATATCTATTTTTTTTAAGTTGATATATGATGTGATTAATGTAAATTCTTGATAAGTCTTCGTATGGAATAGCATATTCAACTATTTACTGTTGTTGTCAGGTTATTTATTTGAGATATTAAAATGGAATAGTATTACTATTAATCTGGCTGAAAAGAGAACCAGTTTGCTCAGATGAGGAGATATATAGAAACGCAAGACTGGTGCGATGGTTTGTTCTCTGCAAACAATGGTTTTTTACTTCTAGTGAGATGGAAAGTATTCTACTCGTTTCTTTCCTTTTGGAATTGTTTTCTTTGACTGAGTTGACACAGTTATTTCCCGTGTTTGTGCTCTTTTTAAGTTCTTGTATCGAGAGTCTATCGAAAATAACCTATCTACACCAGGGTAGGGGTAAGATCTGCGTACACACTACCCTCCCCAGACCCCACTTGTGAGATTATACTGGATTGTTGTTATTGTTTCAGTTATTTCTCATTAAAATATGTTATTGATTTTTCTTAAGTCTTTGGTTTCAATAAGACTTAGAGAAATTTTGGTATGAATGCCCATGGGAGGATGACTTGAAATATGCTAGGCTGTTTGTGACCAGGATTATATAATTTCTTGCCTGGTTGTGGAAAAAGAAAAAAGGAAAAAGGATAACCATACCAAATAGTTTGAAATAAGCATTAAATCAAGAGTGCTTTGAGGCATGATGCACTTTACTCTATTGCTTCTTTTTATCAACAGCTAATTATTGCTTCTTTGCAGTTAAATAAGCTTCCACTGGTTTCATTATGCACTTTTGTACTTTATTGCTTCTTTTTATCAACAACTAATTATATTTATTTTCTTTTTAGGATGAGCATGCGTAAACACGAACAATCCTGACATCCGGTTCATGTAGTGCACAAGCTGTTGGGAGAAGATTTATTTTTGGGTTACTATTAGAATAGAACTTAAGGACCTTGGATATATGATGCTTTTACTCGTTTTGTAAGTAAAAATATACTTTTAGGACTATTTAGTTTTTGAAAGTTAGTGTATCCACTGCATCAATTTTACGTATAGACGCTTTATTTATATCTATATAAAATATAATTTATTATTTCTACTTGTATTTGTGAAAATTTAAAGAATATATGAATTGTGTATTTAGTAAAAACACATAAATTGTTGCCAAAGTAGTACTAGAGAATCTGTTGGCAAAAAAGTATTATTGCCACAATAATAGTTGTTGCTAAAAGTCTTGATAACAGATTATTAACTTTACCGCCAATTTGTTTTAGCAACAACTGATATTGTTGGCAAGAAAGCTAATTTTGTCGCAACAATAATTTTTATTGCTACATGTCTTCATAATCCACGACTTTATTGACCTTTTACCAACAAAAAATAACTTATGACAACGATATATATTGTTGCGCTAAGTTACCTTTGGCAACAATATTTTCTGTTGTTGCATATACTTTTCCCATCGGTGTTTACTGAAACGGAGTGCAACGACTTCTTTGTCGTTGCCAAAACTATTTTTGGCAACAACATTGAATATATGGCAACAAAAATGTTGTCGAGAAAGGCCTTCTTTCTTGTAGTGGGGGGTCTGGGCGCTTGCATTCACTATTTATAAACCCTAGTTTATTTTTGACCGGCAGTCCTCGCAATACACTGCGTCTCCATGATCGATAACCAACTACACTAAAAGGAGTTGATACAAGTATAGCACCTGGACTATCCGACGGGTGCAAATACAAAGGATCGCTTGGATCGATTCCGAAATTTCTTTGAACTCCCACATTCACTGCTGTTAGGGGTATTCATGGTTCGATTTGGGTCGGTTTTTACCTTAAAAAAAAACAAACCAAATACGTCGGTTATTCAAATTGTTGAACCAAACCAAACCAAATTAATAGAAATTAATAAATTTCGGGTTTTGTCGGGTTTTTTTTTCGGTTTTTTGATTTTTTCGGTTTTTATCGGTTTTTTTAAGAATACATGAGTTGTGGCCTTTATGATTCCTTTTGGAAAGGGGTTTGCTTTCGGTTGAATGACTAGTAATGAGAAACTCAATAATGAAATGACTGGATAAAGAAACAAGATGTCCCAACTTTACACAAAAAACACATAACAAATTTTTGGCTCCTTTAGAACTCTAGCCAAAGAGTACAGCTAAAAGAGAGAAGTTATATGACCTTTCTAGCCACATAGAAAAATTAGACAAGCATGTCCAATTTCTATATCACTCACTACTCAGACCTATGCACTTAAAACTTCATTACACAAATAAATACACATCTACAATCCCTCATGAAAAAAGAAATGCAAACTTGTAGTTGAAGATGGAGCTAATCACCAAAGACACACATTAATGCTATTTTATCACCCCAATTTTAGAAAGTTAACTGATGATTGCAAAGTCACAAAGATTATATTACAATAATTAAATTATAATAGGATATTGTAAAACAGTTTTTCATATGGTAAAGTAAATCATCCACATCAAAAAATACATCCAAATTCCAAGCAACAAGAATATAGTTGAAGCCAGTTCCATCATCCGATCTAATCAATGCTCAAAACATTGTCGGGATATTCTGAAAAATAAAAAAAATAAAAATATTAAGCATTAAGTAATTCACAAATATAAATATATTCATAATGAGTTAAATGTATAAAATTACCTTTTTCAACTATTTTAAATTTTTGGATTTCTTCTAAAATATCTTCAATGTTGCATTCTTTGGGAGTTGACCTGAGCCATTGTTGCGTGCAAATTAGAGCTTCTACCGTCTTTGGCGATAAAGAGCTTCGATATGAATCAAGAATCCTTCCACTAGTACTAAAAGCCAATTCAGATACAACAGTAGAAACAGGAATTGCAAGAACATCTCTTGCAATCCTAGAAACAATTGGATACCTTTTACTTGCATCTTTCCACCAAGACAAGATATTAAAATCTTTGGCCAACTCCAAATCATCTATCAAATACCTCTCAAGATCAGTCTTACTTAGGGGTGTTCGCCAAAAACCGAAAAATCGAACCAAACCGAAAATCAAACCAAACCGAGAAAATAAACCGACATTTTTTTGGTTTAACTTGGTTTGGTTTTTAATTTTAAAAAACCGACAATATTTGGTTTGGTTTTGGTTTTATACAAAAAAAATCCGAAAAAAACCAAACCAAACCGATCATATAGATACCTATTTTAAAATTTATTTTTATATAGGTATATTATTTCTAATTTTTTTTTATACAGTATATGTAATATTTTACACTGTTGGGCCTAACCTTTGAAATATTTCATTAACTGCAATGGGCCTAAGTCAATTTAGCATGTTCACACAAAAGGTCTTTAATTCCTTAGGGTTTATTTGATTCTCTTTCACCCCTTCACAACACAATATACGCAGCTTCCAGGCCAAACAAAATTCTCTCCTCTTTCCCTCTAAAATTCTTGATAGCGACCGATGGCAACCACAATTATGAGAAATGAGCAGGTTTTTGCCTTTCTTTTTGGTCTTAACCCCAACTAGTTATCTTTTTTTAATGGATAATTTAAAAATAATTTAAATGAAATTGTAAAGTATTTTTGTATCTCTTATGTAGTTCTTTTTGTTCTTGACCATTGTTTGCATGTTTCGTCTCTCTTAGCAGTTGGATTCAGAAGCCGAGGTTCAGAAAATTCCTTAACTTGAAGGCAACAATACTCCAGTTATTGATTCAAGTGTTCCTACTTCTCCTAAAAAGCATAAAAGATCAGCACATTCTGAAAATGATTTTGGCCTTGGGAGGGAAACATCAGACATTTGGAAATACTTTTCCAAATTTTTTGATAAAGATGGTAAGCATAAGTCAAAATGTAGTTTCTGTACTAAAACTTTTGCTTTCGATACTAAGAAAAATGGAACTACTACATTATGGAACTATTTGAATATTGTTTGTAAGAAATTCTCTTTTAGATTCATTGACACAACACAGACGACACTTAGGTCTTACCCAATTAAAGGAAGCGGACAAGAAGGTAATGTTGGTACTTGTAAACTGGAAAGAGTTGTGTATAATGCCAATGAAGTAAGAAGGGCTATTGCTGAATTTATGATCATTGATGAACAACTATTTAAAGTCGTCGATGGGGAAGCTTTTAAAAGATTAATGTCAATTGTTGTGCCTAATTTTGAGTTACCCTCTCGTTTGACTATTGCTACGCAATGTTTAAAAATTTATCATGAGGAAAAAGAAAAGCTTAAAAAGCATATTCAAAATCAACATGTATGTCTCACTAGTGATACGTTGACATCGCTCCAAAACCTAACTTACATGGTTATAACTGCCCACTGGATTGATGATAATTGGAACTTGCAAAAAATAATTCTAAACTTTTTTCAAGTTCCAGATCATAAGGGTGAAACAATTACAAATGGTATTGAGGTTTGTTTGTTAGAGTGGGGAATTGAAAATCTATTCATTGTGATCCTAGATAATGCAACTGCTAATGATGCAGCAATTAGACACTTGAAAGGGAGGATTGAGGATTGGAAAGGAATCGTCTTGGAAAATGACTTTCTACATGTTAGATGTAATGCTCACATTTGGAATTTAATTCTAAAAGAAGGATTAAGTGATCATATTGAGTCTATTTCTCGGGTTAAAAATTCTGTGAAGTATGTTAAGTCCTCTTCTGCAAGATTAGCTTCCTTTAAATCAATTGTTGAAAAGGTAAAGATTGATAGCCATGGCCTTTTGAGTTTAGACGTTGAAACCAGATGGAACTCAACTTATATGATGTTAAGTACATCTATAAAATTTAAGAAGGCCTTTTCAAGAATGTATATTGAGATCACAAGTACCAAAAGTATTGTCTAGATATGATTGGAAAAGCAGCGCACCCAAGTGGGGATGATTGGAAGAAGGTAAAGGTTTTTACAAAGTTTCTTGACATTTTCTACCAGATTACTTTGAAATTTTCAGGAACTTTGTATGTTACTTCAAATTCTTTCTTCCATGAGCTTTTTAATCTTCTTAACTTTATTGTCAAAAATTCTCAAGGTGATGATCAAGTTCTGATTGATATGGTTGTTTAGATAAAACTCAAGTTTGATAAATATTGGGGTGACTTTAATAATATGAATATTTTATTATTTGTCGCTATTGTGTTGGATCCTCGGTATAAGATAAGGTATGTGAAGTTCATTTTTGCTAAATCTTATGGTTCTGTGGCTGGAGATTTGAGATCAAACAAAGTGATAGATACTCTATCTCGCTTGTATAATTGCTATAAAGATTCTTCTGCTGAAAATTCTGATGAAATTTTGGGAGGTCAAGCTAGTACGATGAGTGAAGGTGATACTGGAGAGATATGGAAATCACAATGGGAAAAATATTTGCAAGAACAAGATAATGAAGGAAGAAAGACTGATCTTGAGAGGTATTTGATAGATGATTTGGAGTTGGCCAATGATTTTAATATCTTGTCTTGGTGGAAAGATGCAAGTAAAAGGTATCCAATTGTTTCTAGGATTGCAAGAGATGTTCTTGCAATTCATGTTTCTACTGTTGCATCTGAATCGGCTTTTAGTACTAGTGGGAGGATTCTTGATTCATATCGAAGTTCTTTATCGCCAAAGACGGTAGAAGCTCTGATTTGCACTCAACAATGGCTCAGGTCAACTCCCAAAGAATGCAACATTGAAGATATTTTAGAAGAAATCTAAAAACTTGAAATAGTTTAAAAAGGTAATTTTATACATTTAACTCATTATGAATATATTTGTATTTGAGAATTACTTAATGCTTAATATTTTTATTTTTTTTTATCTTTCAGAATATCTCGACAATGTTTTGAGCATTGATTAGATCGGATGATGGAACTGACTTCAACCATATTCTTGTTGCTTAGAATTTGGATGTATTTTTTGATGTGGATGATTTACTTTACCATATGAAAAACTTTTTTATAATATCCTATTATAATTTAATTATTGTAATATAAACTTTGTGACTTTGCAATCATCAGTTAACTTTC